AAGCCTGCTATATAAGTGACCTAAAAGAAGAGATTGTCAGACACACAAAATAAAAAGTTGAGTTCTACCCAGAATATACAATAAAATTTGACCAGGTATTGATATGCCCTTCAAAATCAAATCAAATTAATCAAAGAACCTAAAAAGAAGTAAGTAATGAAAAAAACTCAGGTCACATGCTGATGAACTCCTTTAGATGCTGATAAACATATACAGCCAAATAGAGATAAACCAATGATTCACTGTCAAGTATGAGTTTTTTAATTATCTTATAATCTAAGAATAAAACTAAAAATGCTGAGACATTTCTTATCTCATTACAAAATGCCATAACAATTACTACAAATACCTGAACAATAATGTCAATTACAGTGATTGCTCTAGCTGATCAACTTTGCTAACTTAATATAGAACTGCAGTAGTCAAATGAGAAATGGAAGCAATCTAAGTTACTGGATGCTACACTCTTTACTTAGTAATTAGTTAATTCATTTTGGTTGTGGAATTTGCCTATAAATTCATTGTCTTGTACGCTTTGCCCAGAGGTTCTTTAAAGAAAAACCTGGACATCAAGATCTCATTTTGGATTCAAGCAGTCAAAATAAAGAAAGCATATTCAAGCACCGCACATACTGACACATTAGCAGTCACAGCACAACTCAAGCACGCACACACAGAAATGAAGGATACGCTAAATTCAATAAAGAGTAGAAATAAAAAGAAACATAACAGAAACAAATCCAGCAGGAATAAAGAGGGTTGAAATGCATAAAACAATCTAGGTATATTTGAACCTAATTTTCCAAAATGAAGATACTAGCTTTCACTTTTGGTAACACTGAATAGTTTCTAGCCAAAGGTACTAAGGAAAAGCTCAGCTATAAACCCAAGGCATGCTTTAAAATGATTGTTAAATGAAATCACACCATTGAACACTCTCCCACAATGATAACGCCCAAGGAACTACAATAGCAAAAAACAAATCATTTTCAACATAAATGCAGTATTTCCAAATTAGTAAATAAACTATGCAAACCACTCTATTTAACAGATAAAAGTTTTAAGTATTTTTTACAGTCAACACTAAGTTTTGGTTAGACAAACCCCAAGTGTCACTATTGAAAGTAATTTTTATGGAATCCATCTTCTAAAATGGTTTATAATGATTAAGTTTGGTATTTTTCTATTTTGTTTCTTGGCACATTCTATTTCAATTTAATAATATGGTACTAGAAAAAGTTCTTGTATATGGCTTTAAACACTGTGTAAGTTGCATAGTTCTTAGGTTTTGAAATTTTCAGGACTAGTGATACATAAAAGTATACCTTTAGCATTCTATTTCCCCATAACTATTGAATGACTCTGCCAGTGCTGAAAATCCACCAGCTCTTATTAGGAAAGCCAAGATGAAAAACAGAGTCTGGTGCTTAAAAGAAAGTACAGTTCAAAGATAGATGTCCTGATGTCCTCCTAGTTCAAAGATTAAATCAGAAATCACTGGTAATGTTACATACACTATTTTGTCATTTAGAAGACGATAACTAAAGACATGGATCATTTTCCTTCCTTAAAGCATAAGCTTTGTTTTCTTCTATTTGTGATTCTTCTCTAAGGTATTTTCTATTTGTTCTTCAAGAATCTTCCCCTTCATCTCGCCAAATCAGGATTTGAAATACAGCTCGAAATAAGTGGGGGGGGGGGGGGGGCGGGGGGATGGGAAAAGGAGGGAGGAATCACTTCTGAATGGTTATAGTGAAGCCAAAAAAATAATTTTTCACTGCTAACTGGCTCATCTCACATCTACCTGTTAATAAGTCCTGAGGCTTGAATATTCTGCTTAAGGCACACTAAAGACAAAGCTGTCTCTAGCCAATAGGCTTCACCTGTTCAAGCACAGAACAGGTTTCAAATGGCCCAAGGTGGCTCAATCTTCATTTCAGCTCCATGGCCACTTAACAAAGTCCTTCTGTTTAGGATACATTCAAAAGCTGGGGTTCCTAATGAGAATCCATATGTAGTATTTTCTGAATACATGGACCTCTTCCAAATTTTTTTCAAAACCCAGAACATTCACCTGAAACAATTTCCTAGCTTTAATCCAACTTGAAAATGGTCTCTAAGAGCCAGTGCACCAACACCCCCTCCAAGCTAAGGAAGCCATGGGACAGAAGGCAAACCATGGGATAGAAGACAAACCACAAGGCCTTGAAAGGTAATAGTTTCAGGACCTGGGACAACTGCTTCAATTCTGTGGCTTCTCTTTCCTATGAAAATGCATATAAAAATACCTACTTCACAGGGAGTTAATGAAGAGAAAATAATTGGAACGTTGATCAAAAATTTCTAATTTATAAAATTTATTTTGTTATGCAAGAAGACAAAAATTACCAAAGAAGCATTTTATCTACAAAGGTGACAATTAAGGCTCCCAGATACTGAGGAATGGCCCCTGATCAAACAGAGTATTAAGGCAGGGGCTCCACTCTGCACTCCCCAGGCCTCTTACACCACAGACCACATTCAACACACAATGCAAACTTGAGCTCAACAATAACAGAAATGGTGCTCAGGATTGGGCCCACCAAAGAGAAAATAAAAACTAAAATGATATCATATGGTGATGGCAACCTTCAGAAACAAATATATTTAAAATTACTGAGTGACCCTTTTTGGGTCTACACACTTACCAGACCTTAAGAGAGCTGGTGGAGAAGGGACGACTGGATCAGGTGAGTTGGCCATTTCAAATTGTTGACTCTAATCATAAGCGTCGCAGGCTAAACTATAGCAATTTTCAAAACTGTTTAGTGAAGGTTAGAAGCAATCAGCGTTAGATTAATTGAAAGCAGTGTGAGCAGTTATTAACATGATGCAGTGTGCAACAAAGGCAATAATTGAGGTTCATTATAATTTTATTTTCTCTCTTATTAATAGAAAATTTGATTTTCTTTGCTTTGATAAATTACATTTGCTTATATGGATAAGGCAGGAAATATATAATGGCCACTTATTAAACATTACATAAGAGCAACATCCCCTATTGAGCAGTGAAGTGATTATGCTACTATGTAACAATGGCTCAGAACTTTGCAGTGGTGTTTGTATCTGAGTCAGGTTAGTCCAAGTTTCAAACAAAACTCAGTTTATATACTCCTCTAAAAGTAACAAACAGAATCCAGAGAACTCAATGATTCACTTAAGAAACTTTGCAGTCTACACAGTTATAGAAAAGCCTCTGAAACCTCAACTAATTTGGAGGGATCTCCAATGGTATCTTTTACTGCTATGATGTAAACATATAGGAACATCCAACATTTATACAATGTATTCAACTACTTTGTACATGCAAGTGGATTTAAGTGACCACATTCCACAATAGTGAAAATTTGAATTTTATTTTCTCAGTAAAGACAGAGAAGGTAGGTTTTCAAAGCTGACTGTTAAGACATGCAGTTCAGAGGAAATTAAAACTGGAGAAGAAAATAAACCCTATATGTGTATTAGAGGAAAAGAGAAGTGCTGTAAAAATATACGTTGAAGGTAGGGCTCAATATCCTGTAAAAAAACTCCAGTTACTCTCTTTGATGAGATATTATCAACCCAATAAAACTTTTTATAGCCCAGACAGACTCATTGCTAGTGGTCAACTAAATAATTCAATATGATACAAAAAATTTGAAAACAGTGTGAAACAAAACATATGTGACTACTGTAAGTAACTGTATTGATTCTAAAATGTACTAAGGATTAGTTTTTGAAAAATTCTCTCATACTTCAGTGGTAGTTGTGCTATAACCCTAGGTAAATATGTGCAGAACTATTTTTAAGGTTTAAAACAGAATGAAATAAGCAAGAAACATTGGATTTCTCCTGTATGATTTATTAGACACTTTCTTCAAAGGAAAAAAAAAAAAGCTAAGCACTCTGTTGTTTGTGCAACAGACAACTAAGAACTTCATAAATGGGAAAAGCCAAAACATAACGGGGTGGTATTAGCTGTAAAAATCAACAACAAACTCCTGAACATCAATGCAAATGCAGAGTTAGCTTTCCTAGAGCTGTGTTTTTCACTGTTATTACATTATCAACTTTGACCTTAGCTAACTAATTTATACAGTAACAACAATAACTAACAAATAGTAACAACAATCCTTCAAAAGGGAAGATTCTCAGTTGAAGACTTGGTCATTCCACCATCTTTCCTGTATACAGAGGCACTTTTTAACTCGAGATTACATCCAGCCAGCCAGGAATAAGAAGTTTCAATCCTGTCTCTCAGATGAGTTACCAGCCACAAGTGCTAACTTCAAAGTCGTGACTTTGCAATTTGAACAAGTCAGTTCAGGACACTTGAACTGTTATATCTGCCTGCGCAGCGTCTTCTGACCTAGGTGGCATCAGGTTTGGGAGCCACAACTGAGAATTAGGTGTCCTGGGGCCACTTGCCCAGGGAAGGGGCCCACTTCCTTCGAGCCTTAACTGTGATCAGCGTGACATCCTCCATTGCCTAGGGCCCCTTCCCCCTCAAGTTCTGCCACATAGATAGATAACTGGCTAGAGCTCAGAACTTGTGATGTAAAAAGGAGATAAAACATAAGGCAACAAGCAGCCGCCAGTTTTCTAGGACCAGACCCTAGTCATTAGAATGAAACGCTCTGACTTTCTTCTGGGAGGAATACAGGCATGGACAGCACTCTGTCGAATGTGGTCGCCGTCTGATTTCTAAGTAAGAAGACTCCAGACTAAGTCGGCACCACCACCTACTTTTCGAGGGGGAGCACACGCGAAATATAGCTGGGGGAACAAAACGGAGTAAAGGTGGGGCAACCACCTAATGGGGGAAGACATTAAGAGGAAGTCAGGGACCACCATCTGCTTTCTAAGGAGAAACTCGCGGGCATAGGTTCATTCTAGGACCCCTATCTGCCTCCCGCCCAAAGCGCTAGAGGGGGAGCACCTCTGTGCTGCGAGGGAAGGGGTGGCGTCCCAGCCAGCCAAACCTGAGCGCTTGGTCCGGGCTCTTCGCTCCAAGACCTTCCAGCTCACTTCGGCCATGAGACCAGCCATCGCGCTCGGGCCGCCGCCTTGGCCACCACCCCCGGGGCCGCCTGTCAGCTCCGCCCGGCCGGCCCCGCCCCGCCCCCCGCGCGACACTGTCGGGAGGCGCACCGGCCGGAAGTGACCTGAGGGCCAGCTTCAACCTAGCTCCGCGGCCTCCCAAGCGTCAGAGGGGCAGCCCTAGGGGAGAGTAAGAGGAGAACCGGCCGCGGTCGTAGGGGTGTCGGAGCTGCGCTCTTTCTCTCTCGGCCGGCAGCACGGTGCTTTCCGGCTGCCGTTAAGCGCGGCAGTGGGCCGGCGGGCTGGGGCGGAAGGGCTGCCATGGCGGCGGCGAGCCGGCTGCCGGACTCTTGGGTGCTGCTGGCCCTGCTGCTTGGGAGGCTCGCGCTGCTGGGAGTCGGGCCGGTCCCGGCGCGGGCGCTGCACAACGTCACGGCCGAGCTCTTTGGGGCCGAGGCCTGGGGCACCCTGGCGGCCTTCGGAGACCTCAACTCTGACAAGCAGACGGACCTCTTCGTGCTGCGGGAAAGTCAGTGCTTCCCTGGCCCCTCTCTGTCCGCGTGCCCCTCCCGGTGTTCCCCACGCCCCCTACTTGGGGGGCCGGTTCTCCTGCTTTTCCCCGCCCTTCTGTGGCAGCGCTATCTTTCTCCCTTTATCTCTAATTTCCTTGACACCCCCCCCCCTTTTTTTTATGTCTTTTCCAAACCCGGGTCTTAGCTTGACCACTTCACAGTTTGACCGCACTAGAAACACCCCAGTTTTTTTGTTTTGTTTTCTTGAGAAGACCGTGGCCTTCACTCAGGCACCCCGCCCCTTCATAGAATCACCTGCCTTCCAGAGTCCGTCCTGATCGCCGGGAGTCTTTCTAGCTTTCTATACGTTCCTTCCCAAGGCCCCTTCATTCCTATCTGCCTTACTTCCTCCAGTCTCCCTTCCACTTCGATGAACTGGAAAAGGTGCAAATTGATAATTTCCTCTGGTAAAGAACTTCTCCCTACCTTCTAATTAATCTAATTCACCCTCCACTCCCTTTGTCTGGGTCCCAGCTTTCTTTGAAACTACTATTCCTTCCCAAGAACTAAACACTTCACAATTAACTCAAGTATTTTGCAGGCACCACTAATAAATAAACCCAGTGTCTCTTTGGAAGAGGATTCTCAAACTGCAGGTTTTTCTCCTTTCTGAGCTGCCTAATCTTTTGTGTGCAGAAGACCTCCTTGCTTTGGCCACCACCCTCCTCTTCCAAATCTCTGCTTTATTTTCCAGCTTGAGGTTCTTGGGAGTTCTTTGCTTTAACCATCACTAAAGTACTTTTTGGTAAATCTTGATGCTGACAGTGGGCAGTAGAGGGTCTCAGTATTCTTGAGTACCCAGAAAACAGGTTCTACTTAAGGTCAAGGCTGTGAAAGAAGGAAGTGAAGCACTTATACAAAGTTTGACAGGATCTTGGCCCAGATCTCTTGGAGTCCTTTCTGGGACCCCAGAACTTCTGGTGGACCTTGGACCTTGGGTATTTCCCTGTTTTTATATGACTCCATTTACTGCAGGAAGGGTGCAGACTGCCTAACCCATAGCCACTCCATCCAAAGTGGAGAGGGACTCTCCCTTTAACTTTAAAGATGATGTGTGTTTGGCTAAACAGTTTGAAAAGTCTGTTCCAATGAGTGTTCATTGAACTCCAGAAATTCATGGGGGCGTGGATCTATAGGAGCCAAAAGGGACTGGTCTTGGAGGATTCAGTTTTTATCTGCTTAAATATGAAATCACACCCTTGTTACTAGTCAAATGCCTACAGTAAGAAGTTACTGTGTCCTTGGTGTGACGCATCTGTGCAGTGAACTAAACAGCCTTGTAAGAGGTTGAGTTGTTAGGTTTGGGGAGGTTATGACTTAGCCTTAACAGGCATATTCTTTATATGCTTCCTTTAAGTCAGTTGATCTGACTCTTAGGAGAAGGCAAGACCAACTATATTTTCCATGTTCATCCTTCTAGTTTCTCTGCTGCTTTGAATATTGAATTTGTTGTATACTATTAGGAATCACCATTCCGTTACTCTGATAGGACCATCCTCAATAGGGCAGACAATCTGAAGTAAAATAGAAGTTTTCTTGTTGAAAACAGCGCCCGGAAAGCTTCTTGTAACCACTGATTGGGTGTCTTAATGGGAAGCATTTTTCTAATGTTACATATTTGCCTCTTTTAGGAAATGACTTAATCGTCTTTTTGGCAGACCAGAATGCACCCTATTTTAAACCCAAAGTAAATGTATCATTGAAGTAAGTACAGATGTGTGTGTTTCTGTAAAATTGTCATTGTTGTAATAACATGCAGTAACCAGTTGCATTGTTTTTGAAATCAGTTTTACTCTAATATGATGTCATGATAGAAAGCCACTAGTTATGAGGTATGAAGCAAGTAACTTGTTAGAAAAATTAGTTAACATATGAAAATTTAAAGTTAAAAAATAAATAATTTTGAGTGGATCCAGGTCTGTTCCTACATAAGCACCTTCCAGACCCTTGTGATCTGATATGTTTTCTTAAATGTCTTAGGGATTGTCCCTCATCCTGAGTGTGCCTGTGGGAAGAGCCTGCTCACAGGCTCTTCAGGTCAACTTTGTGGTCTGAAAGAGGAGTTTGCTGTGGGGTCAGTGACTTCTGTTTTAATTTTTTTCTTTATTGACTGGTAGGTGGTGACTGCTAGGGGACTAACTGGTTACTTTTGAGGAAATTCTAATCAGATTGAATTTTTTAAATGTTCAAATAATAGTCCTGTTTTTTATATATATACATATATAACTGGCTTTGCATGAAACACAGTGACTCATTCAAAGTGAGCCAACAGTTTTGAAATTACAAGAAGCAAGGATTGAATCGCTGTCTGAAAGAAGAGATGAGTCAGTGCAGGCTAAAGTGGCAGCTTCTAGAAAGTTATGGAACTTGAGCTTGACTTAAAATAGGTTTAATTTAGGTGAGGGATTTCAGTTTTCAGGATACAGCATTAACAAGAGATGGCAGTAAAAAACAGCGTGTTGTGAAGAGAAGATGAAAAGATTTGCCTGACAGAAATAGAGGGAACACTTTGGAGAGATATGGACTAGGAAGATATGGACTAGGAAGATGAGATCAAGTCAGACTAAACCATCATAAATATCACAATTGACCTCAATCCCATGAAAAATGGAAAATCATTACAGGCTCTTGTTTAAAGCAGAGGTGATTAGAATGGTATTTTAAGTTGTTTGATTTACTTGTAAGTCATATGCAGGATGAATTGGTATGTACAATGATCAGATATTACTTCAGAAACTGTTCCAAAAATTTAAGAAGTTCCCATATGGCCTAATGAGTCCTGAGATTCTTTAATATGTAACTTAAATTCAAACATGGAAGATTAGAAGTTAAGGCAATTTATGGGCTGTTAAAGACTTGGGTTCCACAGAGTTATTTTTTAATCCCAATTAATTTCTTTTTCTTTGATTAATGTAATGTCATTTTATATACTTACAAAATTTAGAAATTCTTGTATATATTTAGTATACTTTTCAAAAAATAACTGTCCTTCACTATTTTTTTCCCCTACTCCTCTGTTCCTCTCTCAGATACAACCACTTTTAAAACTTTGAGCTGTTTTGACATTTATTTCCATATTTTAGGGCTTCCCTAGTGGCTCAGAAAGTAAAGAATTTGCATTGTTGCACTCCTTCCCAATCTGAACTCTCATGCCCTAGGCCTTCTGCAGAGTCACTGTTTGGAGGTTTTTCCCTTTGTAATTCTTTGATCCCTATTTCTTAGATCCTGTACCATTTTGTTCTTTGCTTCTTCACTTACTTCACTGGAGTATATCTTTCTAGCAGTTTGGAAATGGGTATTTCCTTCCATTTCCAAAACCTTTTTCTGTTCACTCTTTGATTGACCTATAGTCTCCTAGCTTCGTAGGTTGCTGATTTAAAATCCATTGCTGTTGTTTTTCCTAATCCTTCAAATATAGCTTGTTTTATTTTTAATTTTAGAAGCTATTAGGGTGTCTTCTTTATCCCTTTTTTCTGAAGTTTCATAGTATGTATTGGAATAGACTGTTATTCTTTTATTATTCTGGGCAGTAGGTGGGCCCCTTCAAGTCTTCTATATACCTGGGGGATTTTTTAAATGTTCTAATTTCTCTGATTATATTTTTGTTTTCTCTTTAAGAAATCCTTACTACTTGGTTATTGGACTGCCTAATTCCATCCTTTATTTCTTTATTTCATTGTGTCTGTCATTTGTGGGTTTCCCCCCACCCAGGAATTCTTAATTTTATCTTGGGTCTTTTATAGGATATTTTTATGTTAGCTGTCATTTGAAGTGAAAGAAGGTTTATTCAGGGGGGAAACACAGTCCATAGGCAGACTGTGGGCCGTCTCGAATCCAGGAAAGGCCATCTGCTATATTTTTTAATCTCCAAGAAGTTTTCTTTTTCTCTTATTATTCTTTTTTTTCCATTTATTTTTATTAATTGGAGGCTAATTACTTTACAATATTGTAGTGGTTTTTGTCATACATTGACATAAATCAGCCATGGATTTACCTGTATTCCCCATCCCGTTCCCCCCTCCCACCTCCCTCTCTACCCGATCCCTCTGGGTCTTCCCAGTGGACCAGGCCTGAGCACTTGTCTCATGCATCCAACCTGGGCTGGTGATCTGTTTCACCCTAGATAATATACATGTTTCGATGCTGATCTCTCGAAACATCCCACCCTCGCCTTCTCCCAGAGTCCAATAGTCTGTTCTGTACATCTGTGTCTCTTTTTCTGTTTTGCATATAGGGTTATCATTACCATCTTTCTAAATTCCATATATATGTGTTAGTATACTGTAATGGTCTTTATCTTTCTGGCTTACTTCACTCTGTATAATGGGCTCCAGTTTCATCCATCTCATTAGAACTGATTCAAATGAATACTTTTTAACGGCTGAGTAATATTCCATGGTGTATATGTACCACAGCTTCCTTATCCATCCCTCTGCTGATGGGCATCTAGGTTGCTTCCATGTCCTGGCTATTATAAACAGTGCTGCGATGAACATTGGGGTGCACATGTCTCTTTCAGATCTGGTTTCCTCGGTGTGTATGCCCAGAAGTGGGATTGCTGGATCATATAGCAGTTCTATTTCCAGTTTTTTAAGAAATCTCCACACTGTTCTCCATAGCGGCTGTACTAGTTTGCATTCCCACCAACAGTGTAAGAGGGTTCCCTTTTCTCCACACCCTCTCCAGCATTTACTGCTTGTAGATTTTGGATAGCAGCCATCCTGACTGGTGTGTAATGGTACCTCATTGTGGTTTTGATTTGCATTTCTCTGATAATGAGTGATGTTGAGCATCTTTTCATGTGCTTGTTAGCCATCTGTATGTCTTCTTTGGAGAAATGTCTGTTTAGCTCTTTGGCCCATTTTTTGATTGGGTCATTTATTTTTCTGGAATTGAGCTGCAGGAGTTGCTTGTATATTTTTGAGATTAATCCTTTGTCTGTTGCTTCATTTGCTATTATTTTCTCCCAATCTGAGGGCTGTCTTTTCACCTTACTTATAGTTTCCTTTGTTGTGCAAAAGCTTTTAAGTTTCATTAGGTCCCATTTGTTTATTTTTGCTTTTATTTCCAATATTCTGGGAGGTGGGTCATAGAGGATCCTGCTGTGATTTATGTCGAAGAGTGTTTTGCCTATGTTCTCCTCTAGGAGTTTTATAGTTTCTGGTCTTACATTTCGATCTTTTATCCATTTTGAGTTTATTTTTGTGTATGGTGTTAGAAAGTGTTCTAGCTTCATTCTTTTACAAGTGGTTGACCAGTTTTCCCAGCACCACTTGTTAAAGAGGTTGTCTTTTTTCCATTGTATATTCTTGCCTCCTTTGTCGAAGATAAGGTGTCCATAGGTTCGTGGATTTACCTCTGGGCTTTCTATTCTGTTCCATTGATCTATATTTCTGTCTTTGTGCCAGTACCATGCTGTCTTGATGACTATGGCTTTGTAGTATAGTCTGAAGTCAGACAGGTTGATTCCTCCAGTTCTGTTCTTCTTTCTCAAGATTACTTTGGCTCTTCGAGGTTTTTTGTATTTCCATACAAATTGTGAAGTTATTTGTTCTAGTTCTGTGAAAAATACCGTTGGTAGCTTGATAGGGATTGCATTGAATCTATGGATTGCTTTGGGTAGTATAGTCATTTTGACAATATTGATTCTTCCAGTCCATGAACACAGTATGTTTCTCAATCTGTTTGTGTCCTCTTTGATTTCTTTCATCAGTGTTTTATAGTTTTCTATGTATAGGTCTTTTGTTTCTTTAAGTAGATATACTCCTAAGTATTTTATTCTTTTTATTGCAATGGTGATTGGTATTGTTTCCTTAATTTCTCTTTCTGTTTTCTCATTGTTAGTGTAGAGGAATGCAAGGGATTTCTGTGTGTTAACTTTATATCCTGCAACTTTACTATATTCGTTGATTAGCTCTAGTAATTTTCTGGTAGAGTCTTAGGGTTTTCTATGTAGAGGATCATGTCATCTGCAAACAGCGAGAGTTTCACTTCTTTTCCTATCTGCATTCCTTTTTCTTCTTTTTCTGCCCTGATTGCTGTGGCCAAAACTTCCAAACCTATGTTGAATAGTAGTGGTGAGAGTGGGCACCGTTGTCTTGTTCGTGGTTTTAGGGGAAATGCTTTCAATTTTTCACCATTGAGGGTAATGCTTGCTGTGGGTTTGTCATATATAGCTTTTATTATGTTGAGGTATGTTCCTTCTATTCCTGCTCTCTGGAGAGTTTTAATCATAAATGGATGTTGAATTTTGTCAAAGGTTTTCTCTGCATCTATTGAGATAATCATATGGTTTTTATCTTTCAATTTGTTAATGTGGTGTATTACATTGATTGATTTGAGGATATTAAAGAATCCTTGCATTCCTGGGATAAAGCCCACTTGGTCATGGTGTATGATTTTTTTAATATGTTGTTGGATTTGTTTGCTAGAATTTTGTTAAGGATTTTTGCATCTATGTTCATCAGTGATATTGGCCTGTAGTTTTCTTTTTTTGTGGTATCTTTGGTTTTGGAATTAGGGTAATGGTGGCCTCATAGAATGAGTTTGGAAGTTTACCTTCTTCTGCAATTTTCTGGAAGAGTTTGAGTAAGATAGGTGTTAGCTCTTCTCTAAATTTTTGGTAGAATTCAGCTGTGAAGCCTTCTGGTCCTGGGCTTTTGTTTGCTGGAAGATTTCTGATTACAGTTGCGATTTCCTTGCTT